GTATTTATAAAGTTTAAAAGTCATGATAGTGTTATGGTTTGTGTCTAGATGTCCCTCCAAAGCCTCATGCAGTCATGGGGTGGCTTCTGGAGTTGGTGATTGATTCATGATCCAGTGCTGGGACTATGGGTGTGAGTGCTACACCTGCCCTGGGGCAGAGAGCCTGAATGTAACATAAGGGAGACAGATTTGCTCTTGCCCTTGTCGCTGCTACTCCTCCCATTTGCTCTTGGTGTCTTGTTGTTTTCCACTGCTATGAACTGCTGCCCTCTGCCATGTGCCACTCTGCCTGGAGCCAGCTGAGTATGGATTGAAACCTCTACAAACTGTGAACTAAAAAAACCTTTCCTTCCTTAACTTTGAGTGTCAGGTATTTTGTCCCAGCAACAAGAGAAAAGTAACTGAGACATACAGCTATTTTAGTTTTATACTATTGCGGTTTAAAAAGATATGTGACATGACTTCTATCTTCTTCTTCTTTTTTTTTTTTTAAATTTTTTATTTGTGTGTGTGTGTGTGTGTGTGTGTGTGGCCAGCTCAGCCCACCAGGGGGCGGGCTGGCTGGCATGTGGTGCTGGGGGATTGAACCACGGTCCTTGTGCTTTGCTAAGCTTGTTCTAAGTAGGTGCTTTAGACCACTGAGCCATCTCACCAGCCCCCATGACTTCTATCTTCTTAAATTTAAGACTTGTTTTCTTGACCTGTTTATGCTCTATGCTAGAAAATGTTCCATATGCTGATTGAAAGAATGTGTATTCCTTAGTTATTAGATGACATGTTCTATAAATATCTATTAGTTCCATTTGATCTATAGTTTCATTTCATTCCAGTTCTTTGTTGATTTTCTGCCTGGATGACCTGCCCATTTGTGACTGTGGGGTGATGTTCCCTGCTATGATTGATTGCAGTCTATTTCTCCACTTAGATCTAGTAATATATTCTTCACATATTTACATATGTGTGTATGTATGTGTATATGTATATCTATCTATATTTACATTTGCAGATGTTACACTGTCTGATTGAATTGGCCTTTTTCACATTATATGATAGCCTTACACTTTTTTATTTTTATATTTTTTGAGACATGGTCTCACTGTGAAAGCTGAGGCCAGTGAAAGCTGGCCTCAAGCTCAGCAGTCCACCTGCCTCGGCCCCCCAAGTGCTGAGATTACAGGCATGTGCCACTGCATCTGGCCCTCAGTTTTTTATTTAAAGTCTGTGTCATCTACTCTAGCTACTCTGATTACTGGGTTTTCATTTGCAGGGACTGTCTGCTTCCATCCTTTTACTTTCAGTTCTTACATCTCCTTATGAATGAAGTAAGCCTCTTGTAGGCAAAATAGAGTTTGATTTTGTTTTATAAATCTTTTCAGTTACTCTGTGTCTTTTATTTTTGTAGTGCTGAATATTAAGTCCAGAAACTTAAACATGCTAAGCAAGCACTCTTTTCAGCTTTTGCTTATCTGAGAAAGACAATTTCTTCTTCATCTTTGTCTTCATCTTTTTGAGACAGGGTCTCGTTATACATTTCAGGCTGACGTAAGCTCAATTTGTAATCCTAGATTGGTCTTGGATTACTTTCAGTAATGCTCCTGTCGCTGCCTCCTGGGTGCTAGGATAATAGGTGTCTGCTACCACGCCTGGTGGTTCTTCATTTCTGAATGATGGTATTGTAGGATACAGTATTCTTGGCTGGCGGGTTTTTAGTTCAGGACTTTGAACACACCATTCCATTTGTTCCTGAACTCCAGTTTCTGCTGGAAAATCTCTTGATAGTTTAAGGGGGAATATTTCATGTGATTTGGTGCATTTTATTTCTTTTTATGTATTTGGTACAGGGTCTCACTAACAGCTTGGACTCATAGTGACTGTCCTGTTTCAGCCTCCTCAGTGCTGAGATTACAGGCAAGTGCCACCACACTCAGTCTTGGTGGTGGGCAGGGATGGGCCAGCCTGGCATGTTGGTGCCAGGGATTGAACCCTAGTCCCTGCACTTGCCTAAGCAGGTGCTTAGTCCACTGAGCTATCTCACAGGATTGGTGCATGTCTTTTATTGCTTGTAGAATTTTCATCTTGCCTTTGTTGTTTTAACAATTTGATTATAAATATACCTTGCAGAAGATCATTTTGGATTGTATCTATTTAATGACCAGTGAACTTCTTTTTTGTTTTGAACTTCTTAAATCTTGGTATCCATCTTCCCTCTTAGATTTGGGTATTTTTCAGCTATTATTTCATTAAATGTGTTCTGTGTTCTTCTCTTTCTTTTCTTCCTCTTGGAATTCTATAATGTAATAATTTTTCTCTTGATGATGTCCTATTACTTCAGTAGCTTTTGCTTTATTCTTTTTTCTTTGTGTACCTGTGATTAGACTGTTTCAAAGGACTCCTTCAAATTAGAATTTTTTTTCCTTCTGTTTGATCTATTGTTGAAATTCTACATTTTTTTTCATTTATTTAATTGTTCAGCTCCAAGATTTATTAGGCTCTTTCTTCATTTGTGTGGATTTGTCAAATCCCTCAGGTCATAAATTGTTTTTCTATTTCATTGAATTATCTGTCTGTCCTCTCTTGTGTCTCACCAAGCTTCTTTACGATCCTTTCTTCTTTCACTCATTTTCTCCGTGGTCAGTTACTGGAGGATTCTTGTGCTCATTTGGCATCATGTGTTCTCCATCTTCACACATCTTGTATCCCTATGTTGCTGGCTGTGTCTGGTAGAATAGTTATCTTCCAATTTTGTGGAGTAGCTTTTGTGAAGAAAGACTTCCTCCTGCACGT